TAACTAAAATTTCTGTCCTTATTTTTTTTTGGGTCAGCCGCGTGATTGCTCAGAAGACGATCTCAAACGCTTACAAGTAGTTTCACAACATCACCACTTCGAGGGCTTGGCTCGCCGACGATGTAAGAGAAATTAAAATATTGTTATTTATTATGTATGTTCAATTTTGATTTTTGAATCAAATTCATGGAATAACTCCTTTTTTATCGGTGTTTCTTGATGCAGTACATCGACTTGACTATGAATTTGCTACGAGATCGAGCTAAAAGACATCCAAAATTCTTCAAGATTCCTAGCCGACTCATATTGAACACAGAGTTCGTTCGTGCCGTTGACATTGAGTACTAGTCGCTCCAAGCTATGGATAATGAGTACATGCTGCCGGCATATATAATGGAGTGTGTCGTAGGGATATGGCCGAGTATCGGAGGAAAGTCATGGGAGGGCTGTACGCAGCTATACACGTCAGTGTGCATGAATCATCACTACATTGCAGTGGAGATCGTATTCGCTGACTCCACTATATATGTGTACGACCCCGATCATTTATGTCTGACACAAGGTTAGCTCGAGCGAAATCTGGAGTCGTTATCTGTAATCGTTCCCATGATGGATCCACGAGCAAACATCTCTATGCAGGAGAGATTGGCCACCGTATGGGACATGACGACGACAAGGCAGCAAATATCGTAAGTGTTTATGATTTTATTTTTTTAATTTACAACTTAGGTTCTAACTAGATTGTGATGTGCTAATACAATATTGTTTAATTGTATGGGTGATTGCGACATGTTCGTCATCAAGTACATAGAATTTTTTATTGTAGCACATAAGGTTGATGCAATCAACCAGACATGTATACAAAATTGGAGAAATAAATTAGCATGCGATTTGTTTGAATTTAATGGGGATCCACAAATAATTGTACATATTTTTACATTTATTTGAACATTGTACATTTTATTCATTCATTCATAATTACGAAAGAATTGTAAAATGTTGATTATTTATGTAATATTTAATTATTTATTTTACAGCTTATGTGTTTATTAATAATGTTTGTGCGTATTGTGGAGAACACAGTGTGTCTAAAAAAATTTTGAATACTCCGACTTCAAATAATTAACATCAATAATATGTATAAATAATGTGAATAACAAATGAAATTAATGTTTAAATAAAAACTAAATCTAATAATTAATATAAATAATATGCATAAATAATTAACGTCAATGTTATAAATAATTACATTGCCAATAGTTATTAACAAATGTAAAATTATACATCTGTTACATTGTCATGCAGAGAAATCTGACTTATACAATATCTTCTAGTATGCCTTGTTGCACCGCACCTACAAGGCTGGGAAAACTCTTCGATAGATGGTATTCTAGACGTACGTGTACGCCCAGGAGTACATGGTTCGACTACTGGTGACGACAAGTTATGCAGTGGGAGAATGTGGTTGGGAACTTCCCACTCGACTTCGTTTGGTACAGGAAATATTATCTCTGCATACGCTGCTTTCCAATAATCAGTCATGTAATACGCACTGCATATGGTGTGTGGTGGAAATCCTCTACGCATAGCCACTGCCACTGTATGTGTACACGGAAAACTCTCCAACTGAAACTGTCTACACGTGCACGTATTATCATTCAAGTCCACGATGTATCCGAAATTACGTACACATCTCACGGAGAAGCGAAATTGATCCAGTGGTTCTACATATACTTTTCTCGCCACATTTAGAGTCTTGAAGAGTTTATCTTCCTAAGCCGGGGTTAGTACACTTGTACAACTCTGTGACTCCTCACGTCGATCATGAAACCACTATTGTAGCTTGTCACGAATGTTCTCAATCATTGCCAGAATTGGTAACTCTCAATTTTTCTTGAATAAAGCGTTAAACGCTCTGCATTGTTCGACGTCATCATGTTATATCAACGTCTTGGGAAATGTGATCGTGCCCAATGTTCGATCCCCATCTCCGTTATATACTCCCATGCAGCATGCAATTTATTGTCTCTTTCGACCATGAACTTCTCAAACTCTTCAAAATTGTAAGTCTCTGTAACTTTCCTAAACAACACAATGATGTCCTTGTCTCGATACCTGGTCTTCAGGTTTCCTTGTATATGGTACATATAATAACCATGATGTGCCTCGAGGAAGATTTCGGCGATATCATTTATTATTGACTGCCCTCGATCGATTACGAATGTAAGGTTTTTGACATCCCCAATTATTTCCCTCAACTTCGTGAAAAATCAACTCATTGCTAGATCATTTTCTTCGTCGACTATGCTAAACGTAAAAGGATAAATTTGGATGTTGGTATCTTGACATGATGCAGTAATCAACTTGCCTCCGTATCTCGCCTTAAGGGTTGTGCCGTCGACTAGGATTAGGGATCGTATTGCATTTCGAAATTCTCGAACGCATTGTCTAAGAGCTATAAAGAAATACTTGAAGCGATTATCGTTATCCTTCTCAATAAAAAATGTCAATCCAGTATTAATTCTTCCCATGTTATAGCAATACTTGGCCAATGTAAATAAACAATAATTATAATTTAGATAATCTATTCAATATGAAATGAACGGAAAAATAAACAATTCAATCAAATAATTAATTACATATTAAATAAACAATTGAATTACATAATTACATAAACAATTAAAATAAAATAATTAACAATTAAAATAACAAAGAAATAAACACCTAAACAATAAAATACTTGACTAATTTAGCATAACTCTCTTCAGTCGAACCCATCAAGTCCTCCAATGCACATTCTTTGACCTTTCAAGCATTCTGATAACTCATGACCACCTCGTACTCTCGCCTAACGTCATTAATGATATCCAAATGTCTGTAGATCGTTCGTGGGTTCTGAAACTTGTGCATTATTTCTCGACCAATGAATCATTATCGGGCCTGCCTATGATCATTTCGATGAATACCCACTTCGCAAGTATGTTATTGTGCATACTTACGAACTACAAAGAACTCATTCGTGTCCATCTTCGTCCCTCGCAAACATCAATGGCAGCTATTGTTAATGCAGATAATTGTGTACGTCGACTTGTTTGATTTCTTCACTTTAAACTCGAAATTATGCCTTAAAGCAATCCAGTGCACAACTTCTTGCAATTCTTTCTTTGATTCGAACAGTTGCTCGGCATACACATCTTCATCATCAGGAATCACACGTGAAGAATTAGAGGACCGTGTACTCGGTCAGACCTGTGAGCTCCCACCCGATTCATGTCTCATACGGGATAAAGCAATCAAATCCTCGTTTGTAAATGCGTTTTCATTCTTGCTATATTCAACTATCGATGGAATTCTGTGCGTAACAATGTGATCATGGTGAGTGGCAGTGGTCTCGAGAATAACCACATCATCTTCACAAACAATCTGAATTGTATCCCAAATATCATTTACATTACAATTCTCTTCATCGGAAACTACGCATTTACCCTCAGGAACATTCTTCCTTAATAAAGTTATGCAAATAGGAGTCGACTTTCGACCTTGGTTCAATTTAATTAGATGCTTCATCTCCACTTTAGAAGTAACTTTCATAGGTGGAATTGGAATGATTGAATGCTTATGAAACAAAAATCTCAATTCCATATCGTACTGAGAGAGATCGACGTTAAGCATGTTTTGTATATCATGGTACATTTTTGTAAACGATGTACTCCTTGTTATAAAAATTACTTTAACACATCTCCTTCACTCGTTCATTTTCATTTCCACTGAGCATTTTCATTCTTTTGAAATTTACCGAAATAACAAATTGGGACATATGCTGATGACATATCTGCCACAAATTATAAATATTAGATAATAGATTAAACATAAGGAATTAATACATAATTTTTTAAATTGTTCATTTCATATTTAATTTAATTTTATATTTATAATAATTCATTGATTATTTTAATTGTTTCAAAAATATTTATTTCAATTAGTATTAAATATTTATTAATATTTAGAATAAACAATATACATTAAATATGAACAAATAAATTATAAAATCTTAAACATTAAAAAAATAATTAAATAACAAAAAAAGGGCGGAGGCCCATTCGTCCGGGCCGGCTAGAATTTTTTTCCAACGAAATACTATGAATTTTTCCTGAAATAATATGCATACAGATGAATTTTTTTCTTGATTTTCGCTAAAAAAAATAATACATCTGTATTTAATACTGTAATAATTCATCTACCTTTGTCGAAATAAGATTTAAAGATTCAAACAGTATACTACTTTAACTAAAACGAAATTAAAAATATGTATTTACACTTACCAATTTCGAGTGCCGACTGTGAGTAATTTTTTTTGTTGAACCTTTGATAATTTTGTGAGATTTCAGTGTTCTTGTAGATGGAAGAGGAGATTTCTTTTTAACTGTATTGAAGAAACTGATAGGCAAAATTGATTTTAAAATTTACGTGAGGAACTGATTAAATTTATTTAAACTTTTTAGGATATTATTGTCTTTCAAAGATTTAACATGTTTTTGTAATTATGGAACATAATAAGGGCACAATTGTCTTTTTAAACACAAGAGGCCAATGTGGTGAATAAAAAAAAAAAAAAAAATTGATCAAAGTGCAAAACTTGTTCTTTGACTCAACTCATTTGAAAAGTACCCCCAAATTAACCATTCCAGCTACTCAAATTAATGAAAAATAAATAATGGCTGACTGTCCTGAGCTCCAAGAAGTTGACAACTTAGGTGCAGGAAGGAAACTCAGGTCTTTCCTCCATGGAATCTAATTTAAATTCTTTCTTTTTCATTTTTCTTTTTCTGTTTTTAAAGTCTTAACCACCCAATTGTGTCGGTTAGTGCCACTTCTAGAATCCTTGCTCACTTCAGATGGCTATGTGGAACTAGAAAAGATAAATGAGCAAACTTTTCACGCCTCTTGTTTAATTCTGCCGGATGCTTTATTAAATAGGAATATTTGGTAATGATAGAAAATTATAGTTGAAAGCACAACAAAGAAACTATATACAACGTTAATTAGAACAACTTTCTTTTGCATTGCTTACATAGCAGCCGGTATACTATTTTGTGGGTCCAAAAATGTTACAGATTGCTGCCTTACAGAACAGTTTTTGTAGTTATAACACATGACAAGTAAGGTAACACGGCAAAACCATAATAATTGCACTTCTCTTGTCTACATAGATGCCATTTGTCTCTTTGAAAACATCCCGTCCATCTGGAATAGTTTTGGAGAAGAATTCCAAAGTGAAAAATGCAACCATCACTCTGTACATTCCAAAAAAACTGGAAGAATATGAATCGATTTCTTCAATATGTCGTTAAAATTTCGGCGCCAGTTCTTGTGATCAAAATTGTATGCTCGAACTGTGCAGCAGGACTGCCATCGGCTGTTAAAGTTGTCCAATTGTCCTCCCATGTAGTACATTTCGTGCTTCCCAAGGTAAGAATTGGTTCTGCAACAAACGATAGAAACTCAGCTTCATAGAATACTCATAACAAATCTTGAGAAATCTATTCAGACAACGGGTGTCCCCGAGAGCAAGGATGTTTGTTCTTAAGATGCAAAAGATTATAAACGAATATTACAGAAATTTCGTAATTATAGTTCTGGATGTGTGTGCCATTAAGAACTATACATCTTCGGAAACATTTTGTCATAAAAAAGTTTACCCTACTTTTTGTTGAAAATGTGGAACCTTAATATGAGTGTAACTTCAGTAAAGAAGTTTCTGCAAAGGAATTTGTCATCCCACTAAAAGCAGTGCTGCTTTTTAATGACCACAACCCGATACAGAATTTCCTCCCATATGAACATAATAAAGTGATCAGTCAAAAGAAAGTAATCCATTGTGAGGGTGAAAATTAATTGAACGTGCAAAAGTTGAAACTTTTCCTTTTCGAGTTGCTCAAACAAAGATTTATACAAATTTCAAAGTGAAAAATTAAAGATATCTACATCACAATGAACTTCAGCTTCTCATCTCAGGCAATGGCAAATTTCCCAGTTTTCAGTAACAGTCAGTATTTTGCTATGTTTCAATGTTATTTAGGGTCACGAAACAAGAAGTCGTAGGTTCTTCCAATTGAGAAACCTATTTGATATTTATAATTCAAATGCATGACACTCACCAATGGTAAATGTTTGCCCTTCAACCATATGACCAGCCTTGTCATTGCCTACATAAGAAATTAAAGTTACAGGACTACATAATAACTGATAAAAGACAAAATGCACAAATAATATAAATGTGTCCTTGATTAAAAAAAATAATAATAAAATTATAACATGATGGCAAGCTTATAGTATCTGATGTACCTAAATTTTTGACGATCTTGAAATACTCTTTGAAGAGATGCCAAAAGTATCATACTAAGCCCTTGTTTGAGCATCATTTTGGGTTAAAAATGTATTTTGAAATAGTTTGGAGAATGTGTGGTTAAAAAATAAGGAAATTTTTTTGATTTACGTATAGTATTATTTTATTAAATATTGTGTGGATGAAAAGAAGGAGAAAAATGTATTTTGATAAGAATGTGGATCAAACAAAGGCTTTCTGTTTGACCCACATTCTTTCAAAAAAATACATTTTTAAACAATGATTTGACACCGTTTCAACTACATATTCTTTAATAAAATAATATTACACGCAAATCCAAAACTTTTTCTTATTTTTTAACCACGCATTTCCTATCAATACACTATTCAAATTGATTCCCATGAAAATAATGTGGCTCAAACATGGGCTAAACATTTCTTGTTTAATATCTGTTTAGACTGAACATTCCAATTAAAGCAGGCTCATTATACAGGAGAATAAGATGGTACATGGTTTTGAATTTCATCTTTAGCTGATAAATCTTCAAGTGTTGTACTTCAGGGCAAAACATGTCTATCCTAGGAAAGATGACATTATTCTTAAGAGTGCTCAAAAAGGAAATGGGGTAATTCAATCCCAGATGGAGTGCAAATTTTGCATGATTGAGAAGCATATACAGAGAATGTTGTGTAGTTGGCTTGGGAAAGGAAACATACTCCAAAAGGACAACAATGTTTGGTAATTAGCAAACCTGGTACAAAATTGGGCATAATTGCCATAATGTATTGACAGGAAGACATACAAATTGAAGAGAATCACACACGAATGACTGTGTGAAATTGATTATTGTTTATTTCATCTGTTCAACTATTTATATATAATGAATGGAGCTAAAGATGGTAAACAATCTCCTAAATTAGGAGAGAGCTAATTAGCCTACCAAACTAAGGAAAGTTTAATTACGGTACATCAATCAATCAACAATTAAAAGCAGGTCTCTACACTTCCCCTCAAGTTGGATGGTAAATATTGACCATATCCAACTTGTAAATAAAATCATCAAAACTTTGTTGTGGAAATCCTTTGGTGAAGATATTTGCTGTTTGTTCTTTTGTTAGGGCATACGTCATACAAATAACTATATCTTTGACTTTTTTCTTGATAAAATGTCTGTCTACCTCAACGTATTTGGTTTAATCGTGTTGTATTGGATTCAAAGAAATATTGTTGCCTTGTTATCACAGTATAGTTTGATGGGAAGTTTCACAGAGACATGTAGTTCTTTCAATAGTTTCTTTAACCACAACCATTCACATATTCCTTGCACAACAGCTGTAAACTTGACTTCAACACTTCTTCTTGCTACTACATTTTGTTTTTTGCTTCTCCAAGTTACCAAGTCTCTCCATACAAAGTATAGTAGCCAGTAGTTGATATTCTATCTTCTGTGGAACCAACTGAATCTGCATCTGTGAATATTGCTATTTCTTTACCTTTATTTTTCTTGAATTATAATCCCTTTCCAGAGGAGCTTTTTAGATACTTGAGGATTCGATATACTGCTTCCAAATGAGCTTCATTCGGTGAATACATATGTTGGCTTACCACACTTACCGCAGATACAATGTCTACTCTAGTGTGAGACAAATAGATTAACCTCTCTACTAGTCGTTGATATTTATCTTTCTCGACTGGCTTTCCAGCATCTCCTTTTCTTCCTATATCAATTGGTGTATCGCTTGGTTTACATCCAAGCATGCCTATTTCAGATAGGAGATCATGAATGTATTTTTCATTGTGAGACTTGCGACTCCCTTCCCAAGAAATATCTTATTTGTCTTAGGTCTTTTACCTCGAATTCCGTTGCTACGTGTTCATTCAATTTTTCCATCTCAGTTATATTGTCTCCAGTTAGAACTATATCATTTACATATGCAATTAAAATTGTTTTCTTACCACTCTTTGATTATTAGAAGAACATAATGTGATCTGATTGTCCTTGCAGATAGCTCTGACTTTTCAACACTTTAGCAAATCGATCAAACCATGCTCCTAGAGATTGCTTGAGGCCATATAGGGATTGTTTGAGTTTACAAACTCGATTTTCTTCATTTAGATAGAAGCATGGTGGTAGTGTCATGAGCACTTTTTCCTACAATTCTCCATTTAGAAATGCGTTTTTAATGTTAAGCGTTGTTGAAATAGCCAATCCAAATTGACTGCGAAAGACAAGAGGACTCGTATGGTATTGAGCTTTGCCACCGGTGCAAATGTCTATATAGTCTATGCCGTCGGTTTGTGTATACCCCTTTACCACAATGCAGGCTTTGTATCTTTCCATTGTCTCATCAGCCTTATATTTTACATTGGACACCCATTTACAATCCACGGGTCTCTTTGCTTTCGGTAGATCCATAACATCACAAGTTTAATTTTTTTAGTAGAGCTTGCATTTCTTCCATCACTGCTTTCTTCCATTTTAGACATTTTAATGCTTCCTGAATATTTTTTGGAATTGCTGTACGGTAAAGGTTAGATGTTAAAGTGCGGAACACTGTAGATAGAGTATTATATGATATGAATCTAGAGATGGAGTGAAGAGTACCTAGTTTATTTTCTAAGTGCAATAGGTAGATTGATATCTGGAGATTTAAACTCATGAGAATCTAAAGCTATCATCAGTTTCTACGCTCTTGGTGCTTCAGGTATGAGGTTCTCCTTTGGCTTTAGCTTCCTTGAGCAAACTAATATATCCTCGTCATTTTGTGATAACAAAGCAGCTATCAATATCTCACTCAATCCAGTTCAACATCACAGAACCAAACATGTAAAGGTGGACAGACACTTCATCAAAGAGAAGGTTGAAGATGGAATTATATGCATGATCTACATCCCTACCAAAGAACATACTGTTGATGTATTCACTAAAGGACTACAAAGACAAGTATTCAATGATTTTATCTACAAGTTGGATATGATCAATATCTATGATCTAACTTGAGGGAAGTGTAAAAATCCCAATTTAATCAATTAGGGATTGATTGTAATCTTTTGTATATGGTATAATTAGAGTAAATTTAAGAATATTTTTTCCCTTCTTAAGTTAGAATATTTCTTTACTTCTTTCTCATTGTATTGCACTATATATTGATGTATAGGGTTGTAATGAATAATCAATGAATTAAGAATAAAATTGTTATACTTCTTCTCTTCATTCGACAAGTAGGTTTCTTTCACTGCTTCCCATACCTCCTTTGCTATCGGCAGAAATAGCTATGTTTTCCCTTTAGATGGGATCATGGAATCTACGAGTCATGTGGTTATCATGGCATTCTCAGACTTCCACTTCTGAAAAAGAGTGGTTTCAGTCAACTGCTTGGTGTCACCAGTTAGGTAACCTAGTTTTCCTTTGCCTTGAATTATCAATTTGATAGATTGAGCCCATGCTCAAAAATTCCTTCCATTCAATTTTTCAATAGAAAGTTGAAAAAAAAGGATTTTCGACATTGTTGGAGCCCATCAAGGAGATAATTTCTATATCACTTAGAGAGGATTCAAAAGTTGTAAAATCCTTACTGTTGGTTGTCATTGATTGCTAGGTTGATTTCGAACCTAGCTTTGATACCATGAAGAGAGTGACACACGAATGATTGTGTAAAATTGATTATTGTTTATTTCTCTATTCAACTATTGATATACAATGAACGGAGGTAAAGATGATAAATAACCTCCTAAATTAGGAGAGAGCTAAATAGCCTACCAAACTAAGCCCCCGTTTGAGCCTCATTATTTGTAAATTATAATGAACTGAATAGTGCTTTTTTGAAAAATGAGTGGTTGAAAAGTTTTTGATTTACGTGTAATATTATTTTATTGAAGATTGTGTGGTTAAAAGTAGGAGAGAGAAAAAATTTAATTTAATGTAATGAGAAATAATGGGGCTCAAACGGGGGCTAAGGAATGTTTAATATGGTAAATCAATCAATATATATTTATATATATATATATCACTTGGTAAATGAGCATATCTGAAAGATAAGTTACGCACGGTGGTGAAATATAAGAGGTTCAGAATGAAATACGGTCCCAATGCCATGTCCAACAAAACGATCCACCACGCCGTAACCAAATTTTTCAGCATGTTCGCTGAGAAAATAAACAAGCGAGGTCTAAGTAAATAAAGTTCATGAAAAAACACAAGCATGGTATAAATTGCTAGAGAATGGTTTTGCATTAAAAAGAACAGATTTTGCATTATTTCACTGTATCATCCAAGTTTCCAAGTAGTTGTCACATGATCTTAGAATGGAACTTAACCATAGAAATGGTATGCATACTGATAGAAAAAATTTGCAAATCAAAGACCCTATTTTGCAATATTTAACCCTATTTTTTAACTGCCCAGGTCATCATAGAATGGTAAACCAGTTTCTTGAGTATAAATTATAAGATAGGGTTTTGTATCGTTGCTTGTACATGTAATAGGTTGTTTAAATAACAAATATATCGACATAAAAAAAGGTGATAGGGACTGTGCTTTCTCAAAATGATGATGCAGGGTTTGTTCTAACAGAGATAAAGCTACTATTTACTCTATCAGGGGTAGGAATTATCTTGCACTATAATGCACTGCACTAATTTTTACTCAGTTCTAGTTCCCTAACTGTCATATTTTTAAGAACAGTGATACAACTGCCCTTTACAGGTACAATTAATCTGCAATTACAGATTTTTTTAACTGAAATACAAAATCTGTACTTATAGCATTGCTCTTACAGGTATGTGGGCATATTTTCATAATCTTATTTATTTAAGGAAAAGAAAATGGAAACCCTTGACAAATTAAATAAACCTGACTTGTTTTGAAATTGAAATAAGTGAAAACATAGACAAGCAAAATCAAGGATGACAGAAATAGCTTTACCTCATCTTTCACCATTTTGTTAATTCAAGATATGTCCTTTGTGTATTTTTTCATCATAAAACTTTAAAGAGATAGTTTGCTTGATATATGCTTATAATATCAATATCATCTCTGTAAGTACTAATAACCAACATTACAATATCATTCACGTATACGGCCATGTATGTCATAGTACGTGTACCAGACCAAGTGGAACAACATGGCTAGAAAACGAATCTGCTGAAAAAAGACAGATGTACAGAAATGTTTATAAATCTAAATAATATTTACCCATACAAAAATTATCAACAACGTGAAAACTTATAAAACAATGGACCATTGATCTAGACTCAAAATACTTCACAACAGGAATGCTGGATGAAACAGAGCCTCAAGTGCCTAAAGATCGTCGTATATAAGCGGTATGATAACTGAATAAGTTAGTAAAACGTTGCCTTACGGGTACCACTTTTTTATGCAATTCCCATCATAGGATATTGATAGCAAAATTGAGTTTTCTCTCCCAGAGATGTAAAGTTGAGATAATACATGTACCTGATCCTCTTCCCAATTTTCCTAAAAAGAGTACCATCTTTGCAAACAGAAATGCCTTTATACAAGCATTCTTCTGTCACCTGCCATGGAAAAAACAAAAACAGGAAATTAGGACTCACATATGTATAGATGGCACAATGCTTCGCTAAAAAATCAATGATACAATTGCAATCATGAAAACTGGATGTAAATACAGTTGTAAAGCAGAAGTTTACTTCCTAGCCTCCGTGGGCTAGCGTAAGGCTGTCACTTATAAAATAAAATTATGACTCAGACAAATGACAATAGTAACAAGCTAGATGTTCCCACAAACTTGCATTTAACTACATAAATTAATGGCCAAAAACTCGGAGTAGCACGGAGAACTGATTGTCTAATAACTGTTTTGTAGAATTTACCTTTAACTTGTATCAGTATCTTCCAATCATTTAGAATCTCTGTAATAATTCTCCATTTTGCTCAACTGGCTCTGATCTTATGCATTGAATCCTTTTCAAATTTGCTCTCATTATCAATAACCGAACCTCAATATCAGAAAAATTACTATTGAGGACAACATGATACTCTACTGTGACTACACTATTATCCTTATTCCTACTATAAGCACATTCTATTTATTCTAACCTAGTTCTGCTAAATGTAAAACATTTCGAGTCAAATTGCTTCGAACTTCTAACTTCAATTCATCATTTCTTAGTCTCATTATCTAAAACTATTTGAAGAACGAATAAAATACTATTTTTTTCCTTTCTACAAGTAAAAGCTAAATTTACCTTTACAAGACGTTTCATGGCATCATTCACATTGCCGCAAAGAAAAGTCTTAGATGTGTCTCCATGATAACCCTGACACAGATAACAAACATGTCAACAGCAAAAAGTCAATCTTAACTTTGTAGGAAATTCAGAGGGAATGATTTGAAAGAGTCGATGAGTGTTTTTAACTAAAACATTTAAAATTTTCTTCATTCTGCATCCACACGTATGACGTTAACTCTATTTAGTATTTGAAAAGTGATATATTCATTGGAGAAGATTAGAATATACTGCAAACTAAATTGGTGAATAGGAAACAAATTTTTTATATATTAACCCATCTAAAAGAAAAGAGATGCATGAAAAGCCGCATATCCATGTACAAGCAATTATAAAATAAATTATTATTTTAACAATAAAATGGTTATCGCCCAGTAGTTTCAGTCAATGTTCGCTTCATCTTGCCCAAGGAAGGCTCACTTTCCTTATCCACATTTAACATTCTCTTATTATTACATTTTCCATTTACTTATTTTCTTTGACACACTTTGTCTGCGTCTTTTCTTGAAGTTCTCTACTTCAAAAGCTAAAGTTCGAACCAAAATCTCTGAAAGAAGCTGAAGCTATATTTTTTCAGTTTGCCACAAAATTGTAAAAGTAACACCCCCAGGTCAATTTGTTCGCCTCTTATACTCAAACAATAACTCCTCGAAAAATTTCAAATTTGTGAGACAAGTCCACAAGTCAGGGTTGGAGACATATTTCAGCAAACAGTAAAGCCAAATACAATATTGAAATGGTAAATATGTTGTACTAAGATTCTGCTCAGGTACTTGGAAGCAAGGTCACGTTTAAAAAACAATCAGAAATCCTATTATTCTCTAGGATCATTGATAATTTGATTTTTATTAACATTTTGACTAGCTAAGGAAAATAAGTAATAGTTTATTGCAAATCAATATATAAAACAGAGAATGCCAAACTTATTGATCAATAACTTACATTTAAGTAAACTGTCACATCAATGTTTATTATATCGCCATCCTGCATGCCAAACGATCATATTAAAATGTAGGAAGTTAATTGGACTCGGCAGAGATTGCCAATGATAGAGCATACAAGACCTGTAGTTGGCGAGAATCGGGTATCCCATGGCACATACACTCATTAACTGATGTGCAAACACTTTTTGGAAAACCTCCATAGCCAAGAGGCGACGGATAAGCACCAGCATCTACGATCATTTGGTGTACAGCTATATCGATTTCATTCGTTGTTATTGATGGCTGAGATGAGAGTGAATAGCGTGTAACGAACCATGTAACAAGTTATCATATAGCAAATAAATAATATTTGACATGGTGCACATTTTTTTTGTAAAATTTTTGAGGGAAAGAAAATGACTTTGCTTTAGTTCATATATAAGGTAGAAATATTAACATGCAATATCAAAAGTCAATTAAATTTTTACAAGGGAGGAAACACGAAATTAGCACCGGTGCAGAAACAAGTAATAATACCATGGAGAATATCAATTCTCTGGCCATCTAATCAATCACACAGTATTTATACCAAGGACAAAAGTACGCATGCCTACATTGTTGGCGTTCAGCCCTATGCCTTGTGTTTATGGCATTGACTATGCTTTAAGGTTGTTAAATGTAAATTTAACCAAGAAATGCATGATAAATGTTTAACAAGACAAGAATTTTGTGGTACAGGCCTATTTACATTATGATGAGACGTGACTAAGATAAGTTCATATATATTTTACAATGATGAGATTTGATGCCTATGATATGAAATTTATAGCGTACCCTTAACATAGCATGACTATGAGAACACACTTTTACAGTGCATGTTTTATAGTGAAATGAAAACCCAAGCATGGAATAATTTCTGATGACAAGCATGTATTTCTTGATAAAGAAATGAGAAATGACACCTTTTGCTATCGCATATAATGACGTGCTATGATTGACAATGTATTATGATGCTTTGGGATGAGCCATAGGATCGTGATTTGGAGTTTTGATGTAATGAGACAAATGACACCAGTTTCTAGTTTATAATGGGTATGTGGTCATGATAGCAATTGGGAAATGAGCTGAATATACAATTTTCATAATAATAATTCAGCACAATACTTGCAAAAAGAATGAGCAAGGATGATGATTTCTCAGCACGATGATATTTTTGAGAACCACATGATTCTCAATTTCACGCATGAGTATGCATAATCTTTACTTGTTCAGCCTATATCATGTAGCTCGTGTTGTATGGTTCTGCAGGTCGAACCCCAGCCTCCAAGGGACCTAGATGGTGGTATCAATGTAGAAGATTCCCTCCAGGAGACATGATTTTTTTGTTGTAATATGAATACATTCTCATGTGGTTATTGTAATAAAGTACCCATTTTCCCTTAGTTAATTTCTCAAAAATAATTCTTCTCTTCCCTCGCTTAGTTTTAGACCTAGGAAAAGTGCATTCGCAATGACAGATAAGATGCTGGAATTGAGTTAATAGACAGAAGCCAACAGGACGGAGTTGGAATGTGATTTCTTGGGACATCGTCCATTTTATATACACAACATTGGAAACTTTGGCTATCTCATCCACCCCCCACCCCACCCTCCAATCACAAAAAAAATAAAAAAAAATAAATCCCAGTTGCCTGAAAGGCTGAAACTATTTCTCAACAGAGAAGAAAATTGCAAGCCATGCAACCCAATAAAGCATTAAAATGAATTGTTCAGCAATAAACATATTAATTTCCGCATCAGGAAATCTCATCTGGTAAGCACTTGGCAGCTTACTTTCCAGTTCAGTGCTTTTATATCTACGATGCATAGACAATTCCAATGAAGCCACTTTTTAAATGTTGCACAAGTATCCAATTTCAACACCCATTTGTAGTAGTTAAAATAATTATTTTCGACTTGTTGGAACTTTTGAGTATGCAATATTTACAAATATAATTATAATTAAGTCAACAAATACTTCTCATATTAACATGAAGGTAGTTATATATATCCTTCCTTTCAACTCCATTCTATCGAGGACCTCCAATTTCAACAAACAAAGGTTTGAATACTTTCTAATTGTCTCATTTCATGCAACTTGAGGTCAACCTCTTCCACTAGGTTTGCCAATGATACATTAGTCACATTACTTTTCTTAATTGGTAGATCTAACAACCTTGGTGGAGTGCACCAAAAACTTCTCGCACAATTTATTTCCAACAATGCATCTTTAGCTAACATGCAAATATTTTCATGTCTTACTCTTTCCTTCTTGGTTTATTGCAAATCATTCTGAAGATTGTCACTTTATTGACACTCTTTATGTAGAGGCAGTTTCTTAATATTCCAATTTTACATCTCATATAACACAGCACATGTTGCAGTAATATTTAGAATTTCACTTTTAATCATATGGGGATTAGTAAATAAATTTTCAAGTCTTGCTTGATCAAAACTCAACATTTCCATAACACAGTGTTTACCAAAGAATTCATGCTTATGATATACCAAAAGAGTTAGCCAATGCATAAGAAGCAGAACAGGAATTTGAACTGCTTTTAAGGATAATGCATACACTCAAAGCAGTTTTTTTTTTTTTTTCTAGACAGGCAAATACAGAATTATTCAGCAGGTCTACATATAAAATTGTTTACTTAAATATAAATTTGCTTTTAATAGGTATAAGATAAAATGAACTATCCATGGCAACAAAGTGAAACTGATGACTATAAATTATAATCATTAGATTGAAGAGCGATAACAATAAGGTATTGGCATTCCATAGGAGCATCAAGTCCTTGCACTAAAATATAAAAGCGTAAAATAAATTCTCACCCTAACAAGTGTTCCAGCATAGTCTACCACCCGAGCAGCAAGCTCGCAAGCAGCCCTCATGCGAGCAATTCCTTCAGGATCATGAATTTGATGTTGACTTGAGATTTCTGGCAATAACTTTGAGCTTACATAAGGAGGTTGTGGTATATGATCAGGCACAGGAAGCTGCTGTGATACCTTTCCACGTCTCAAGGGAGGCCTTCTGCTAGATGATGTTGAAGTTCGAAGCTCGCGTTCCCTGTGTCAATGGAGAATGGTAATAAAAATAAAAAATGAAGAAACTAGAATCATCTCAATGTTCAGGACAATAAATAGTGTAACAGAAGCAATGCTGCAAGCAATATAATCAACATATCATAAACAGTATAGATATCCAACATTTATTAGAGGCGACTTCCATTATACATTATAACAGTTACACTTAATGGAACTAATAAGCACAAAAAATTCCAGAATTCTGAAATCTTACATTTTTAAGCATTCAGCCATTTGAAAGTAAAAGTATAAGCATCGCTTTATGCTTAAGTCAAGATTACAAGAAAACAAAATAAAATTATGATAACCTGAAATGAAGAAATCAAAGGGGATAAAGGAGAAGGTAGCACCATTCAATATCATTCAAAAGGAATAAATTCTTCAGGGATATTCATTAATGTAATTTTTCAGAAACTTAAACAACAATTCATTTTAAATCGATCCCCAGCGTAAGAGCACAATTTTGCAACACAAAAAGACCATTCTAAAATATTTCTTCTTCAATAATATCAAATGTCACACTCACAGCCCAAGACTTGCATCTAATCTGGTATAAATTAACGCGCTTTTAAGACAACAATGACAGGAAAACCCATCTGTATTTAGCTACATTAAGACTCTAAAACAACTAATAATTAATTTCAGGAAGAAACTAAATGCTACTAAGCCTATATAAGCAGACGGTACCTTCTGATTCTGATGGCCTCCTCCAAACCCGATACCCTTTTCGCATAAATGACAAGCTGCCTTGTAAAGTTTGATCCTTTATCTAATTTTTCAAGATATTTACAAGAAAATTAACCCATTTAATTCCAAGAAGCTAAGCAACCAAGGCACACAGACCAAAATTCACTTTGATAAGCAGGGAAAATCCAATGTGTTAAGAACTCTAATATTAGGTGGGCAATTATAGAAGTATGAAAAAAATATACAATAGAATACTAGAGTATCTTATTACTTATGAGCCCAAAATCTATAAGAAAATGAAGTTAAAAAAGGCTCTGAGACAAGATTTTTCATGACCAATCAAACCCATAATCAGTTCAAATGAAATTACAGTAGGAAAAATTTAGACACTAGATAAACATGTATATATACTACAAATAAATGTAACATATTAAAAAAAAAAAAAAAAAACGCACTGTAGAGAGAAAAGGAGTGGTGTGAGGTAAGCGGGGCTCCCATGAGAGAAGCATGGGAAGAAGATAGTTTAGCTTCATTGTTGATAAGTGAAGATGAGAATTGCAAAGATACCGCTGCTGTTGCACAAGCCATTTTCTGCAGTGTTATTGTGTGAGAGAGAGTGTGCTGCTTTGGTTCCAAAGAGAATCGGATAATGAAAAGATTTTTTGCAGTTAACTGGGCCGGGCCATTAGTTTTGTTACACCCAAGGTCAAGTGAAATAGAGGATATGGAAATGAGAGGTGCTATATGTGTCCGGGCGTGCCAACATCCGATTACAAATAGCAAAATTCTATGGAAATTAGGGATAGTAACTACTATATATAACTTTATGGATAAATACTACAGTTATATTGGGGTCTTGAAATCCACTTAATAGTTATTATTCATCCTTGCGAGTATTACTCGTATGTTCATATCACGATGTAGGAGAGTCTGTCTACTTTAGTCTATGACCTACCTTTGCTTTGCTAGGCAGTACGCCTTCACAACTCCGAAGTGAGGAAGACGTCACTCGTGCCACCTACCTAGGAGTCACGAGCGTACACGCTAGCTCTCTGTTCTATGTACAAGTTTAGCTAAGGGTCGGAGACCTGATATTTGATCATATAGCCGTGTGAGAAGTCTGGTAGGTGGGTAGGCTTCTATCCGACTAGTAGGACATGCAGTTCCCCCCTTAGTCTTAGGGTAGGCACGAAATCAATTAACAGCTTATAAAGAAAGAGGACGACTTAACTATCAAAAAAAGATCTAAAAAGGAATGTTTTTAAGTGCCAATTTTTATTGTGTTTCTAAATATCTTTTCATTCGACCTCAAAAAGTATGAATAATTGATTCACTGATTATAACATGTTATTTTAGCCCCTTAACATCGACTTCACTTGTAGTTGCAACTTTTTGATTTGGTGGAGAAGAAATTAGATTTTATGGAAAAGTGGGACTGGCGCAAACAGAAATAGGCAATTTCTCGATTTTTGGAGAAATTTTGGGGTTGCCCATTTTTTATGAAATTTTAGTCAAATTTGATTGGAAACAGGTCAATGAACAACACTCAGATCTTCGCTCCTGACGTAGGGCCAATTTATCGGGCAAATTTCTTCGTTTAGGCTTTTAGTTATCCTTTTTTTTTTTTTTTTTTTTTTGGTATTTTTTTTTTTGTTTTTTTTTGAAGAATTAGAAATCTATGTAACGATTGGATTGAGGCAGGGGGGATTTATCCTATCCCTTTTATTCACTTTATGACAAGATTCGATTATTGAAATATTACTCAACCCCATGTTAAACAAAATGCATATAAAATGAGGAAATGTTTATCTTATATGATTTAATTTTTTTCCTAATTTTTTTATGCTTTCCACTATAAAAAGTATTGTAAGCCCAATTGTTATCACATTGATTGAGAGAAATAAAAATTTTGTGAGATTTTCATCTTTGTGAGATTTGCTTATCTTTTCTATAACCTTCCGCTACGTCACTATTCTTTAGTTCCTTCAAGAGCAAACTTAATCTTTCACCATAGCAAGTTAAGAAATTATCAAGTCTAACAAGATAAGTTGTCTAATCAAAAATTTGTTATAACACGTTCTTATAGTTCTTTGACACGCACTCTATTTTTTTCTTCGAGCATTGCCAAGCTCATTAGTGCAAATGTATTTAGCAGAATTGAGAGTATTAATAGTTCTCCAAGTGTATGAGGTTTGGGACCGATCTAAACAAACATTAGTGTCCTTTGCTTCTCCATAACAAACTCCATAGCAAAAAAACTAGGATGCACGAGGAGATAACGTAAAAAGAATGTTGTAAATAGCCCTTCTATGATGTATATGGACATGAAGATAATAGATACAATAGGAATGAAGTTTGTACATAAAATGACCAAAAAGATGCAAAACGAGGAACTTATGTGCGGAGCACGCGAGAAATTAGTATACAAGATTTGTTACAAAGATCTTCATAGGGAAAATGATATACAATTGGAAATATAATTAAGTTCGAACTTCAAAGCAAAAATTTGATCACAATTGGAATGGTTAATTAAAAGTTATGTGGGTTTAAAGCGAGGGGATAGAAACTGTCAATTTTAGATGATTGGGAACCAAACTGCAAAATCCAGGAAAGTTGGAACAGTGTTCGCATAAATGATTGTTGAGCCCGTAGTTGGTAGTGACGGCCAAAAAAGGCGGGGCAAAAATACCCGCCTGAAAGGATTGGTGGAGACGGAGTAGGCACCCTGTCGCAGGGTCATGGGGTGAGGTGGGGTGAGGATGCCCCCGCTCACCTGGCCCTGAACCCGCCCTATGAAAGGGGAAAAAAATTAAAAATAATTTTATTTTTAGACAATTCAGCACCATATCTTAGAACTATAAACATACCTACAGGAATGATCCATCTGTAGTTTAAAACAAAATATCAAAATCTCAAAATATTTTTGTGGGATATTATTCTATCTACATTTCTAATGTTTCCATATTATCTGATAATCTAATATAATGTCCTATTATTGTATTCTTCCAAACTTCTATAATATTATTCCAAGTCTGAGGATCATGTGCTGTAATATGTAATCCAGATTTTCTATTAACTATAAAAGATTTTTCAGAAAAAATTAAGATAGGAATTCAAACACATGGATATGAAGATGTTGTTTCAGGAGAAAACTTATTAATAAGTATAGGATTTTTAGGAAGACATTTTACTTTAATACTTTTTAATTTTTCTGAATTACAAAAAACTTGAACTAATTCTGATTGTTCAGGAATTATTTCTGGATTTTTTCCTTTTTTATTAATTTCAAAAAATTCTAATTTCTGTAAAATATATCTTTGCATATCTTCTAAATTTTCTATCCTTTTTCTTAATATTTTTATTTCTGATAATTCTATTTGAATTATATCATTATGTTCTTCTTCAGATTCTATTAATTCTTTTTGTATTAAACATTTTTTACAAGCTTCTAAAAAACAATTTTTACATTTAACTCTTAATTTTTTACTAGGATACCATTTACATATAAAACATGGTATACTATCTGATCCTGTTTCTTTTATCCAATTATGTTCACATTCTAATTCTATATCCATAAGTTCTAATTCTTCATCTGAGTCTGATAAGTTTTTAATATTTGAAAATTCTTGTATAAAATTTTCATAATCTGATTGTTCTTCTAAATTATTATTATTATTATAATCATCTATTGATATAATACTATATACTGACTCTTTATCTGAGATATATTCATCTATTTCTAATAAATCTTCATTAGTACATTCTACTAAAGTACTTCTTTTATCATTATTATTTATCTTTCTTGGACATGTTTTAGCTAAATGATCTGATTCTCCACAAACATAACAATTTAATTTATTAGGATAATTTCTTTCTGGTTTAAATTTTCTAACATGTCTACTTTCATCTAAATAAGGCTTTCTTCTATTAGATTTTCTAAGATAATATCTTTTTCTATAAGGTTGATAATTTTTCTTATTATCATATTTTCTTTTATTCTTTTCTTTGTAATTATTTCCATAAGTTTGAGGTGTATAAATATCTTTACAAAACTTATAATCTGTCTTTTTAAGTTGATTCTGTATTTGTAATTCAATACATTTTTCTTCTAAACAATGCATTATAAATTGTGTTCTAATTCCTATACTCCATAATTGATCTGGTCTTTCTTTAACACTTTTATTTTCATTCCATTTCTTTGTTATTTCTAATCCTAAAGGACCTGGTAATTTATGAAATAATTTTTTCCCTATTTCTTGATTAAAAGTATTCCCTGAAATAGAAACTAAATAATAATATTCATTTAAAAACTGTTTAACTTCTTTACCATTAGTCCATCTATTTAAGCTAAGCTGTTCTAAATTTCTAATAGCTTTATTTTGAATTATTAATTGTCCTGTATTAGGATCTGCTCCTGTTAATAATTCATGTATTTTACTAAAAAAATTATAAGGATTATTTCCTAGTAATACAAGTGCTTCAAATTCTGATTGTTTATCTCTTTTATAAGCTTCCCATGTAATTTTAGTACTTTCTCCTAAAAAAGTTTCTAAATATCTATACATTTCTAATGGTTCCATATTATCTGCTAATCTAATATAATGACCTAATACCGTATTCTTCCAAACTTCTATTATATTATTCCAAGTCTGAGGATCATGTGCTGTAATATTTAATAATTGTGGTTTATAAGGTGTCTGAAATTCTATTTTAGGTTCTAAAGGTCTAACTTTTCCTCTAGCTATATAGTTTCTTTCTTTATCATTATAATTTGTATAAGGTATTCTAGGAGGATGACCACTATGATATTGATATGGTTCTGGTTCTGTTTTAGTTTGCATTACTTCATCTACTAATTCCTTATAGTTACTATTTTCTGATATTTCTGTTATATTATCATTTTCTTCTATATTAGTTCCTATTCTAATATTTTTAAAATTATCATAATATAAATATTCTGTTTCTCCTATTTGTTTATTTAAAAACAAATAATTTTCTAATTTTAAAATTTCTGTAGGAGATAAATTCATTTCTAATTCTTTCGGATAATAAATTCTATCTTCAATTTCTATTTCTACTTTATTAATAAATTCTTCAACTTATTCTTCATTATTGGATTCTGTTTCTGAATCATTATTTCTATTTATATGACTATAATTACCAAACCTTAAACTAGTTCTTCCATATAAATCTTTATATGTAATAGTTTCTTGAGGAACTAAAATTGGTTCTTGATTTTCTAAAAATTTTTCTAAATTCCATTCTAAACCTGCTAAAAGTTCTGAATCATAAGTCTTAGGTTTAATCATTTTTATTCCTTTACTACTCATTAAATTTATTACTTTATCAATATAAAGTTTATATTTTGTTTGAGAGTTATTACTACATCTTTCTAAAAATCCTATACTTATTAATAGGTTTTCTCCTGAAACAACATCTTCATATCCATGTGTTTGAATTCCTATCTTAATTTTTTCTGAAAAATCTTTTATTGTAAATAAAAAATCTGGATTACAATATATAATTCCATTATTATCATTCATATCAACTTCTGTACTTGCTATCATACTTTTTTCTATATTTTGAATTCTTTCATCATAAATAGTTAATAAAACTTTACTTCCTAAATGTTTTCTCATTAATCCTTTAATTCCTATTACTATTAATCCTAAATGCATAAATCTAAAATTCTTTTTTCTTAATTCTTTTTTAGATTCTTCTGATATTAAGGATAATTGTCTTACTTGACCATCTAAACATTGGATTGAAACTTCTCTAGTATGTCTAAAAAATTGAGTTCTTGATTCAAAAATTCCTCTATTATATAAGTTTTCTGGATTAAGTAATTGTAGACCATGAGTCTGAAATCTATTATAATCTTGTTCAGGATCTATTAATTCTTCTATATTCTGATTATACTGAGGTTGTCTATGTAAAATTCTTTCTATAATATTTGTAGATAAGAGCATGTCTTAACTCCAAGTTAAAAGTTTAAACTGTTTTTAAAATAAGACCTGAGTGATCTCTCAAAGCGTAAAGGCCCAGTGAAGAGGCTAGGATACGCATAGAAGAGAGAAAGGGATCACTGTTTTAAGAATTCTTGTTAAGGGAGTGCCAGTGGTGTTCTTACAAGAATGGAGTTAGGCCCAAGTTCATATATCTCAGATGGGATGTTTTAAAAAAAAAAAAAAAAAAAAAAAGGGATATTATTTTACCAAAAGAAAAAGAAATCTCAATTAAGAAGAGTACCGAGTAGGATTTTTCATAATTGTGTTAACAACCCCCCTACAACAGCCTTAAAATCCTTGAAATAACCTCTTTTTCAGGGACCCCCCTTTTTTTGGTATCAGAGCTTTTGTTCCGGTGCTGGTGATTTCAGTATATTGACTCAGACTTCAGAAAAGGTAAAAAAAATAAACGACGCAACAAATAGGAGGTTTGGAAGAGATGGGCGGGGCGGTCCCTAGTAGTTGGACCACTTTTGGTGCAATTCTTTGTTGTGATCGCAACTGGCACATGTTGGGAACGAGACTCCAAATCTTTAATTTAAATTCGAGTATATCACTGGCCAGTGGCAAGTCCTAGGGTGTATTCAAAAGTAGGTATATGAGCTATTTTTCTCTTTTCGTAGATATTTTACATAAAACCAAACAAACATACGGTGATCATTATGTTTTACAATCCAAAAGCAAAATTTTACAAAGTCCATTTTTGGGGTCAAAATGAAGAAAAATTGTCTATTTTTTTTAATTGTTCAAAATTAAAAAATTCAATATGTGAAATAAACTATTATTATATTTTACAATGTTCTACTACTCAACTAACTTAATACTTGAGTGAATCGAGTTAACTTTAATCATTTTTACAATATATTTTAGATTTAGTGCATCTCCAATCCAACTTCAAAATGAAGTAAAACGTCAATTTGGCATGGAAATTATGCTTCAATTGGAGTTCAAATTATTTATACCACAACAATTTTAATTTCTATTATATCCTTTTTACATTCCAACCGGACTTTATGTTTTTTTAGCTGAAAGTTTTTATAATGGATGTAACTTTTTTAATATTGAAATGCTAAATGTAATGTTTTTTTTTTTTTCATTTGTGATAAGTGTAATACTTTTTTGTTTATTCTAAAATTAATGTTTTAGTTAATTAAATATAATGTTTAATTTAGTAATTTTAGGAGTAATATATATGCAATTAAATATTTTTCAAATAAATTAGTTGTTGAAATTTTAAAAATAAAGAAGAAACGGAATATTTCTTTTGGTAACATTTTGTGCAATGGGTTAGAGATGACTAAATTAGATAGTGTGAAAGTTGTACCATTTTATTGAAATGGATTAGAGATGATCTTATATTTTCTTCGGCCATTTCTTTTTCTTTGTCTTCGTATGCACCCGAAGCTCATAAATCTTAACCTTATAAATTATTCTCTATTCAATCTTCTACAAAATTATATTTGTAGTATGGTGCGAGGAAAAGGTAGAAAAATGAAAGAAAGAAGAATATTCTACATTTTGGCCAATTGAACCTTCTCAAACTATTTCTTTTTAAGAACGAAAAAGATTTGTGCCAAAATAACATATGTCAAGAAAAATAAAAGGCTTTGGACACGTAATGGATCTTGAAGTACTATTTCTGCATCTCCCTGACCAAATCCGTCCACATTAAGATTACTCGTTCCTGTCCAGATACAAGTAGCCCACATCTTCACAGACATGTCTATTTCGTTGAGACAGTGCCCAGATCGTTACACCTAAATTATCAAAGTTTGGAAGCACTCACTGTCATTATTTTACATTATTTAATACATATGTCAACTAAACAGTGACAGTGGGTACCGAATACTCCATATTTCGAGAGTCCTAGAAAAAATTTCAAAATAATAAATTGCGACGAGTAAAGGAAGATATCTTTTATGCAACGGAAACTAACGGAATGACCAAAGAGGTGAGTTTTATTCATTTATGTGACTAATAGTGAACAAAAGAAAAGTTGAGTCAGTGTTTGCAAATAATCATGTGAATTGGGAGACCAAAACCAGGTTTTAACCTACCATACTAGTATATTCATCTTGATTTATGAATATCATTATTTTCAGTTATTGTCTTCTAGTTATGTCAATAAAATCTTAATATGAATAATTATAACTTGTGAAAATTACATGAAGTAAGGCACCGTTTGATAATATTAAATTCCATGAAAAATATCATAACCGAATAATTCATTTTCTACTTTTTGCTGTTTGATACGAGTGGAAATGGAATTCGAATTCCAAGGTACAAGCACTTAAAGTATGTTTTTGCTCAATTGAGTGAAAATAGAATTCTTATGGTTTTGTTGATTTTTTCTTTTCCAACTTATATGGAATTGATTTGTCTTTTCCACCTTTACAATTAAACGGATCCTAAGTGTTTTTAAGATTAAAATTCATAATTAAGAGTTATAAGTTTGTCTTTCAAAAATCACATAGAATTAAAAATTTAAATAATAATAATAATAATAATATAAAATTAAACTAATCCACCCCACCCTCCCCATAACCCCAATTCAATTAGGAAAATGCTATTTGTACACCAGGGTTTACACTCCGGTGTACAATCTCCTCACATGAGGGGATGGCCCCACGACAATAAATAAATCGTGGGATTCCCCCACGTGAGTGGATTGTACATCGGTATACGTGTAGCAAAACTTGTTCAATTACTTCACAAACCCTAAACCCATTACACGCTCTTTTCCCTCTCTCCGTCTTCTCTATACCAACCACTCAAGGCCTCACCATCCCTTTAGATGATCATCGCTTTGCACCACCTTCGTGTTGTGCCGCCACCCCTCAACCTCGCACCACTGTCGCGTTTTGCCAAACCACCCCGCACCAACCCCACTACTTTGCCTTGCACCATGATCGTCGCTTTGTGCCGATATCGCTCCATCTCTCACAATTGTAGTGTTGTGCCGCTCTACATCGCATCAAGACCTACCTCGACCCACATCGCACACCGCATTGTGCTGCCATGATTTGTGAATTGTATTGATCTATGGATGAATAACCGTCATGTCCCGTGATTTGTTGTTTTGGTTTTTGTTGGTTGTTGGAGTGGTGGTTGTTTCCATGGTTCTGGTGATGTTGGGATGGTTTTATTGGCGGTGGTGCTAGTGGATCTAGGGCTGGTGATAGTGGATTTGGCATTGGCAGTTGTGGTGATTGTGGCGGTGGTGCAGTGGTGGTTGTGTTAGTGATGGTGGGTCGGTGGGTGGGATGGGGTGAGGAGGCATGGTGTGATTGTGACCAATTATTTAGTTGATTGTGACCAATAAACTGGTTAATTTGTGTCAAATAAATAATATATAATCTAAAAAATGTGATCGTGACTTATATTTTATTAAGTTGTGACTGATAAATAATGTCACTAATTAATTTAATATTTTGTGACTACGAAATAAGTTGTGGCTTCTAAAATTTGTGATTTGCAACCAATGAATAATATGTGACCTATTAATTTGATAAATTTACGATCGATGAATAACTTGTGAGGTATAAAATTTTTTATTTGTGACGGTGAAAAAATTTGTAACATGTAAAATTTTTTATTTGTGATCGAGAAATAATTTATGACCAATTAATTCGATAATATGTGACCAAATTGTATAGATTTGTGATCTTAATATATTAAATTAACAAAATATATGTTCAATTAATTATTTTATAAATAAAATCTAATAATGTCTTATTTTTAAAGTTTTAAACTTTATTTCTTAATTTTGAAATAGATCATAGTTAATCTCTTACATATGAAATTTTCGACTTTTATCAAGCTATAAATAAGTATTTCATAAAAAGAAAAAATGGGAACATTTGATCCGAGTTGATTTTTATCCAAATAGAACTTCAATTGGGGCACTGGTGAATGAAAAAATTCTGGGCCAAACTACATTAATAGCCCATTATCTGTTTGTCATCAGATTTCACCACCATTTTATGTAATAAAAGGGGTTTGACTGTGTTCTAGAAACAGATATTGGCTCCTTATCTTGACAGTATTTCTATATACTATATGTTCAGAAATGTGAATTGAATTTCGGATAGAGTTTACTGAAAAATAATGGACTCGTGTAATTCTTTTTTGTGTAAGTATTACAATTGAAATGACATTATTCATAGAGTTACAAGTGATCGTAACAAAAAGAAACTATTTTATATATGCAATCAAGTTAGGGAGGAAATAATCTTAACGAATCTAGAGAAAATGACACTATCAAAAACAATATAAGGCTGTTTTTAAGCTCATCCATCCAGACATCTTATACTTAAGTTTAGTACAATCCACTGGTTGATTCAACATCTTGTAACCCGCCACTGCATGCAAGTTTGAATATTCTAATCCTGATGGTTTTCACTTGTTTCTACTGTCAAATTTGTAAATAGCAAGAAATTAAATGTTCGATGGACTTGATATGATTTCGTAACAAGCTTAATATCGTCCACTAACAAATTACTTTAAATATTAACTTATTTTTGAGCTTGCATTAGATTGATCAAACGTATATTCACGAACGTAAGACTTGTATCTTAGAAAAGTTAATTAATTTTTTTTTTAACCTTCTGTTGATTGGGGTGGTGACGGGGGCAACCCCATATTGCCATGACATTCTTAATCTGTGAAGAATATGCTGTCACAAGCATACAACATTTATTTGGTAGCTTAAACGTCTATGGTTTATTTCTCGAATAATGATTTAGTTACACTTACACGAAAAATATGTAACGAGGAATTGAAAAGGACGAATGCAAAGGTTCTACTTAATGAATAAAATAATTGTCTGTATTTTCCCAACTATCCAAAGTAATATATAACAAAAGAAATAAGCAAAGTTAATCGTGAAAGAGGATACAGTGCCTCTTGGGGCGGCCGGTTCGGAAGGATTGAGCGCCTGGTTCCCATATGCTGGTGCCGACTTAGGACGTGAAGAAGGGGAGTGGTGACCCCTCCAAAGCCCATGGGGGCGTATTCGTATTTGGCGGAGTGGGTGAACGTACTCGTGAAGGAAAAAAGAACAATTGCTTTGGTTTTTGTGTCTAAAATTAGTCAAATAATAGTTATGTAAGATGACGAGCTGGTGTCCTTAAGAATATGTCACATTGCTTTAAACTTGGAAGTGAAGATAGAACCAAATTAAACAAACATCAAATAAGAATAAGATTCCCTTTTTCAGTGTGTCCAAATTCTAGGTACAACTAGTTAAGGTTGCAGTATTCAAATAAGAATATTTGAAGTTATGACCATAATTCTTTTGGTAAGAACTTGTTTCAAATATTTTGAGTCAAATTTTATCTAATATTTTGGCGCGAGATGTTGCTTTCTTAGTTAAGGTCGTGATTTCTTATAATATTTTAAAAGTACCTTCGATACATAATGATAGATAATATTTTCATTTCTTTTGGTACGCTGTTTAATATTGTATCCTTCCACTTTTAAAACTTATTTAAAGTGCATACTTACTCTGCATTATCTTTGAATTTTTTTCCCAAAACATCCAATAATATCCAATTTACGTTACCTCACATTTTATAAGAGTATGTTCTATACGTGTAACAGGCATAATTTACCGCTAAATTAATAAGATTTAAGTCTCTTTTTATTTTAGAAATCAACAAATCATTTAAATATTGATTGTGCACATATCATTAGAGTAAACACGAAGTCTATTACCAAAGGAGATTAAGTCCTCTACCAATTCAAGAAATTAGAAATAAAAATTTGACAATTCTTATTTAAGGATCAAATACATATGACAAGAACATGGAGTGAAAGCTTGGAAATTTCCAAGAAATACATATAATTATGTAAAAGATTTGACTTGTGCTTGAAAATCACTCCAATATCCTGTAATCTGTTGACATTTTCTTTCACTATAACTTCAAGTCATCCATATAATTCATTTCCAATTTGTAAATTAAAAAATATATATATATATGTCAAATTGCTAGTTAATTAACGTATATGATTATGACGATGATTTGGACATACTAAAAATAATATTATTTATATGAATTAATTATGATTTCTTTGACTGTAATTGATTTGCATGGTTTGGGACGATTCACCTTAATTAAACAAGTTGACATTAATCTGGTAAAATTTAGAATAGTCAAGATGCAGTTAATTCAATATTCATGAAATCTTCATGCCAGGATAAAATATTTAGATTCCATTTATTAATTGTTATATAAGATTAATTAACTTAATAAATTTTGATTAAGGACTAATTAATTTGATTGCGTAATGTATAGTGTTATGATTCTTTCATAAGTTATATTGTCTTGCTCAACTACTATTGTGAATTATAGTGGGAGAAAAGATCTAGGATATGGAATCCAAAAATAATAATTTGTCACCATTAAGAGCTATTATGATAAAATATTTATAAAGTACTCTTTTTATCTCTCTTTTGAAGTTTTAACTTATAGATGAAATTGTTAGATCTTTCACTATTTACGGCCATTCAATCAATATATAAAAGGAACTTTTACAATTTTGTGTGCAATAATATTGGAAATAAATAAACTAGATCTTTAGAACAATATCCTTACAAGAACTTTAGAGTAATGAATGATAGAAACTAAATTTCATGGGCTCGAATCGTGCTTTATATCTCATTTATTAAAGTTTCATCACTTCATGTATTTTGTATATCATTAACATGCAATAAATATAAACTAGAAGTAGATACAATATTCTGTCGATAATGCCTGTTTAAATTTTTAGACGAGACAGTATAAAGGTAATACGAATGTGTTACATTTATATCTCAATTAAATATCTATTCATGCCTAATTAAGCTCTAAACGCCTATGCTTTGATAGGCTTAATATGTATTAGTACAAGAACATAGAGATATTCAAAAAAACCAAAAACAAAACAAAAAGTATGTCAAAAATATATGAAAATCAGTTCACATAAACTTTGAAAGAACAAATTGACAAAGTTTTGTATTTCCATATTTCTCCCACCTAATCATTTCCAGCTCTTCAGCCTTGTTATCTTTATACAATTTAACTTTTGCAACTTGCAACAACATTTCTCCTTCCAACAGGAACATCTGCACTACTCCAAACCCATAACAAAAAACAAATTGGAATACAGATTGTTACAAAGCATCAATAACCCTTTGTTTCTTGCTACATTCTAATGCCAAAAGCTCCATTTCTCTCATCCTTTTTCCACTACTGAAACTTTCATTACTTGGTACCTCGAATATGTTCACTCCAAACAGTCTTACCATCGGAATGGGTTGGGTAATGTTCGATCCGTTCCTCGGTTTCCAGTCGATGTAGAGTTGATTATCTGGTCCGGTTGATCGTTGAAAGCTCACAATGTCTCCGGCTTTCAAGTTCTTTTCCTTGACAAATCTACTCCAGCCTTTTGTCAAGACGTAGCTTTGGCTACTGTTCCAATAAGAATATCGGAATCTCCATACTTTTCCACCCAAATCTTCGAAATTTAGAAGCAACCCTTTGGAATTGTTCCCACTTTGTAAAGGGAAGTTTTTTTCTGCGTGTTGTTTTGGAATAACCAGGCGGTTGAGCTTCCCTACGTCGCTAGGAGTCACCGCCTTCTCAAAGAGCTGTTCTCGGGCTTTGGCCGCCCTATCGCTGCCACCAAATGAGCTGAAAACGCCGTCTTTATTGGTGAACCTTCTGCCACTGCCATCGAGCAAGCCATAGTTCTTCCTGCCTTGTTCGAGTTCATCACTGTATGTATGTTTCCTTAACATGTCGACAATCTCAGCCTTGGAACGAGAATTCAAGAAGGCTGTTTCAACATCATCTTCTTCACTTTCAGACAATGGTTTGAAGTTAGTGACTGCATCTCGGCCTCGAAACCTTTGGGCGGCGATATCGTACGCCCTGGCTGCCTCTTCTTCTTCATTGAAAGTGCCTAACCAAACCCTTTGGTGCTTTTCATAGATTTGTGCACCCCACCTGCCATTAGGCTGAGGGACTACACCTTTGAATCTCGAAGAAGGAAGCTTCCTCGACTCAGCTTCAACACCGACCTCTGCATCTATGATCACACTCGTGCCACTTCCGACACGGCAGAGACTCTCCGGCGACTTAGTCACCGGCAACGTCGAGGCCACGGAGATCGGTGTCATGGATACAGAATCACTGGTTGTGCTTTCATCTATACAACTTGTATCCATTTTCCGTTAAAGATTTTGAAGTATTTTCTTGGAAATAAAGGTGAAGAGCAGAAGAAAGAGAGAGAAGGAAAGGAAAGCAGTGTGAATTATGAAATGATTTGTGGAGAAGAGGGATGATTATATATAGGAGGTGTCCAAAGTTTATGCATGAAATACAAATATACAATAATAGTTTACATAAAATTTGTACAGATTTTAAAAAAGAAAAATGAAGATGTTAAGATGTGGGTGAAGTGGGTCAACCCCATAGATGGTAAGGAACTAGGAAGATTCATGAGAGTGTGGAGTGGGGTGAGGGTGGTGCGGGGTAGAGGGTGGGCGTAGGGGTAAGGTAAGGGTAGGTTTTAACTCTAGAAAGTATGTGTGTGTTGTGGGCTGTGTATGTTAGGTGGGGCAAGGCAGTATAGATAAAGAGCAAGTTGATGATATTCACATGACCAGACCGCGTTTTAGTAAGTTCATCCCCCCTTCCCTCTTCCTGCTACTGCTGCTGAACCTTAGCATGCTATCTCTCTCTCTCTCTGTATTTATCTATTTAATTAAGTTACTTGTACAGATAATTTTACACTTTTGTTGACAGATGATAAAACAACATGCATTTTGACTCTTGATTTGACCCTCATCATCTGTCAAATTAACTGTACATATAGCATAACTGTTATCTAATTGTGTGTATGTGTGTGTTGGAGGGGATGGGGGTGGGCGGTTACTACTGGTGTAATAAAAGTTGGCAGCAGCAAATAATAGAGGAGATTCTGATGAAGTATCAGCATCAAGGTGATAAAGAAAATTTATATATTGACACGGTTTCACTAGTCTAGGATGGGGGAAATATGGGCCAATTTTAATTGGGGATGGATAGAGTCGAAGACAAGGCTCATCCAACAAGAATTTTCCCATAATTTTTTTTACCTGTTGGCTGGCATGATTGGATTCGTTTCTCCATATTTCTTGTCATTATTCGCTAAGAGGAAAAACACATACAAATTTACATTTATGTGCTGTCGGCAAATAGATCAATTTGGAACATTGAAAAAACTTAGCTCCGTTTTGTAACAATTTTTCACTCAAAAAAATTGATTTTTTAACCATTATTTTTTACTCTTCACTTACAGGTGGGATCCATTTGTTTTCTAACGATTGAAAAATCAATTCTCATAATCACTATCAAGACTTCATCTTCAATTCCTTATATATTCATATTTTTCAATATTTTTTATTATTAAGTAATGAATGTTCTATTAAGAGGTAAAATTTCACATCAAATAAAGATAAAAAAAAATATAAAACAACTAATAAGAGTTTGAGTTATTCATCTTAACAATGTTGACATTGTAAGATGTAACCCCAAATCTTAATATCGTATTAGAGTCCATTAAACTCAACTCAATCCGATTAAGACACAAAAATTGATCAAACGAGTCACCATATTAAGGTATAAAATTTCACATCAAATAAAAATGAAATATAAACCAACTTATAACAGTTGTATTATTTCTTCTAAAAAATTGACATTTAAGATGGAACTCGAAATCTTAATATGTTAGACTTATTTCTAGTCTCGTTAACTCAATCAAATTAATAATAATTAAGTGTATTATTATTATGTTGTTCGATAAAAAAAAAAAAAATTGTTCTCAAGGAATTTGGATAAGGATTTTTCCACTGGTGCTTGCATTCTTGATTCATAGCTTTCTCCAACCTATTGTTTTCTCAATATGGAAAATCAAACATTTTCTGTGGGCCACTGCACCTTAATTAAATTAATTAATTAACTATCTTTATTCTAAATCTACTATTTAATAATAATAGAATATTGTGGTTCTGTACGGATAAAGAGTCCTCTGTCTAATAAAAGGGCCCCACATCCCAAGTTGTAATAACAAAAACGCAGAATACACACTTTTGCTCCTTTCAGTTTTCGCTGAGGGTTTGTTAATTAAATTATGCTATTTATACAATTTTGATAGACAATTTTTCATTCGATACTAATACATTCATTCATTTTAAAAATTGTTAAAAACTATTTTTTAAATCAACGGAAATTGTCAAAAAGGATTATATAATAGCTTAATTGTTGTAAATTTGTTAGTGTCGGTCCAATCTAAAGAATAGTGTGTATATTATTTGAGATTTTGAGTGTGTATATTATTTGAGATTTTGAGTATTCAATTTTCAATTATAATTTATGTACAAATATTCTGATTGTAAAAAATACAATTAATTGGGATATATCATATAATTAGAATCAAGGGCGGATCCATAATTTTTACATAATTCTGTCTCGCCCCACTTAATCATGTTCTTGGGTCCACCCTAGTTAGAAATGACCTAAATAACACGATAGAGTTAAATTAAGAGGATTGCAGATTTATTTTTTATTTTTTGCTATTCTTTAACCTAATTAGAATTAATTTGATGTCTTCAATAAAGTAGAATGGGAAAAAACTTTCATCTCCAACAAGTAGTACGATGGTAAGGCTTCAAAACTTTAATGATAAATATGAATAGATCAATCATTTTAGTCCTTGTAATTTAGGAGCAAATCACATCTAGTAAATTAGTGTTTTTAATTACGATTGTTACGAGGTTCCATTGAACGATGAAATGTGCATAACCCTAACACTGGCTGGAAACATGGCTAGAGGCCTCGATGAGCAACATGACTAACTATACAAGAAGATGCCCGCAACTAGAAGATAAAGAAATCCACTTGGTGGTATATCGAACTACAATGATATAAGAGTAGTATTCTCTAAAAATCCAAGGTCCGTGAAGAGGGAGTTAAGATTTGCTGTCCTACATATCTCAACTCGAACTCGTCAAGATGGTTCACTTGGAAACTTGGAATTTCAGAAGAAAATGTAAGCGCCGGGGTGGCATCCGACATGGACAAAAATATTTGTGCGAACTATGACAAAATCAACTTGGGCTCTAGTGTACTAAGCTCTTGCGTGCGCAATTTATCATTGGACAAGTGTCATAAAGCACAAATTGCAACAAACTTTGAAAATGAACCTTACTTTCAATAAAATAATAAAAAATGACCAAAGTCCCCTAAAACTATAAACAAGACCATTGCATAATTGAAAAAATAAAAAAATCAATAAAAAAAATTTGGGTGTACAGAAGCCGGGTTCACAGAACCCAGAATACGGTCAAATAACTCAAAAAAAAAGTGCACCCCACAAAATAAAAAATGCCAAAAATTGTAAGATGTCGATAGGAGTTCTGTGAACTCCTACCTATACATCAAGTGCTTCTGTTGAAAAAAATTGTTGTAAAACTTGTATCCAAAATTCCACTGCAAAAAACTGTTTCGGATTGAAAGTACATTCGGGATTGTACCTATCAAAAATTAAAACACTATTATCCAATAAAAAATGTTGAAACACTATTATCCCATTATAAAAAAAAAAATAAGAAATAAGAAGAAGGTTGAAATCACACCCACACTCTCTCCCCCCTCCCCACCCTAACACAAAGTTTGGCTTCCAAAACACATTCAAAATCTTCGATAGGGGGAAAGCACCACCGAAATTTGGAGGAAAAACTATAGTTGACTTTGAAAGTTATTTCCATATTTTGAGTTCAACTACGATAACTTTATAGTTCTTCATGGTCAGGAAATTTTTGTGAATAGAAAAAGTATATTAAAAAATTATGGTTAACACGATAAGAAATCTAACTCTTATTTGGTGGGAATTAAAATTAAAATTTTAGTAGATTTAGATCAAATAAAAGCGTGATTGTAAAATTATGAATCTCATAAAATATGTGATTAAAATTAAATGTTAACTTTCACTTAAATGAACAAATTTTAATCTCTAACATATGCCTAATTCATTGGGTGTGGTACGGTGGTACCTGATAATTGATAATATTGGTATCAAAATCATTTCATGTGAATTGCTTGAAAAAAAATCTGCGGATCGTACGGTGGTACGCCTCTGTTAGTTTATACGGGGAATCTGTCCTTTTTGCTAATTCTAATCTCCTTACGGGTGGCAGTCGGCAGAGCACGTGAATTGTTTGGTTTGTCATGTGAAATGACGGTGAATTATTTTCTTCTTTTGTTGGGTAATTCTGTGAAAATCAAATAAATTAAAAATGACTAAATATCTACAAATACCACCATCTCAGCTTGTTAGATAAATTTCGTAAATGTACTTTTCTATCCGTCTATCATTTTTTTTTTCATTTTTCAAATGTGGTCTTGTATTTACTCATTGAAGAAATCGTCGTTGATGTCAATTAGGCGATTTTTGAACTTTAACGCTGATGAAAACATTCATCGAGAGGCTTTTCTTTCTCGGACTTTTTTTATTGATGGTGGGACGAGTTCAATGCTACAAAATGAGCTGACATCTAGAAGTCAAGGTAGTGGATTCAAATCTCACGATGAAGTTAATATAGTTGCACTCTTATCCCCTATTTGGTTCTCATTCTTTTCTCATTAAAATGAAAAATATGATAGTTATTCATCAAATCAAGTCATCAAATTTGAATTTCTATATTTTGTGTGGGACCCGTAACAGCTATATTTTTCATTCTCATTCTTCCAAAAATGAAAAACAAACGAGAGCTTAATATGATATAATATTAATGTCCTCTGAAACTATCTAATGATAGGAGTGAATAGCCACGCGATTATTTAAGATGGGAGAGGGTAAGTGTCATCTAAAGAGTAGGTGAAATAATCTTATGGTGTGTTTGATTAGAAGCATGAAAATAACATGGAAAGAAAATAAATTAATATGTAATTGAATTGTCTAAAAATTATTTGCATGAAAATTGTTAATTAAATGTGTTTGATTAATTCTATTTTCAACTTTAAAAATATTATACTTGTCTATTTTTTTTATTGGTAATGGTAGGTATCTAGGAGGGAGAGGGAGAGTAGATGAGAGAGAAATAAAGAGTGAATTATCTCGAAAATAAAAAATATACTCCTCCTAAAAAAAATATTTTATTTGTTTTCAAGAAAAATATGATCACGTGACCAAAAGTAGGAAAATATTTTTTATAGAAAAAATATTAATCAAATAACACAAAAATAGGATTTTGGGTTAAAAAATTAACATTTTTTATAAAAAATATTGACAATCAAACGCACTTTTACATCTTTTGAAATTTTGAAAGACAT